CAATCCCATAACTGATGTTTACAATTTAGGTCCCCCATGACAACAACCGAACAAATTTCTGCAAACAGTACGTGCAAGTCATTATTATGAAGCCGTTCAACAACTTATTTTGCTTCAAACAAAGTCATAATGGAAAACAAAAATCGTTCTCAGGTGATACCTCTCAGGTCTCAGGTGGTTATGATGGGGCTTTGTTTGGGTTCGGGCCACATTATAAAAATAGGTACAGTTGAACCAATCTTTCCCGCTGCTGTGACACAACTCCTTTAATTCACCTTTCCATTTAAAGCCTTCCATTGATCACAAACATTATATCCATGGATCCTATTTCAGAATTTCTTCAGAATCATATAGAGTATATCTAGGTAATGTGTAAAGGTGGTTTTTATTGGCCAATTTTTATTCTTACACTGTAACCAGTTTTTGTAATTTTGAGCATATTTTTAATTTACCTTCTAATACTAGTTAGTTGGATTTTTTTCTAATACTAGTTAGTTAGACTATACTAGTTAGTTGTATTTTGTAACAGCAGCTCCGTGCACATTTGCTGTGCTTAAAGAAATTATTCTGTTTGAATTTGACGACAGTAGCTCCGTAAATTTCAGAATGTTGTGCTCTGTTAGCTCTGTGCGGTGTTTATCTTGTTTTAAGCGAATTTCCCATCACGGAAAAAGCTATTACAGTAGGTCTCATATAACCTGGACCCGGGTCCCATTTACTTTTTCATTTTGAGGTCCCCAAAGGTAAAAAACACCGTTCATATATAATTAATTTAGTCAATGTGTGTCTGTTATCGTGATAAATCGAGCAAAAATTATCAGATTTTGATTAAATTTGGTACAAACGTGTAAACCTACGTTAATTTGAAAAAGTTTGAAAACCTGTAAGTTTGGACTAGGGGAACGAGGGTTTACAGGGTGTTTTATGGGGTAGAAATCAGTTTAACCCAGTTTTTAACCCTAAAAACATAAAATTTTGCAAATCATTAAAAAACCATTTTGTAGAGCGAGCTTACGAAAATAAATAATTAAGTATGCTGAAGCGTTGTTCCACTGACTATTGGATACTGAAGTAGACATCCCATATATATGAAACAGCTGTTGCCAATTTTTTACTAAAAAATGTAGGCTACTTGTGTGAGCCAGTCACAAAATGCACTATAGGTCGGCCGCTTAGAAAACGACCTCCTCCAGCATTGGTTTAGCATAAGCGCGCAGGTCGTTTTCTAAGCGGCTGAACTATAGTGTCTAAATTTCTATTTTATACCTTATCCTTTGTTGCTGACCAAGTTGATGGGTTATAGTAGAGTGAAAATTTAAAAACGTACTTTTTCAGGAAAAGCACTTTAAAATTTTTTTGTTCCGTTTTTTGAAGTTTTTTTATTTCATTGACATTTGAAGTTTCATAAAATGTCCATGGTAACGCAATATCTTTGATGATTTTTTTTATTAATAGTGCATCTTTGATGGAAAAACACGAAATTTTGTCACAACCATCACGGACATAAAACTGAATATTAAAAATAGGTAGTTAATATTATTTTTCTAACTATGTTTTGCTGTAAATTAATTTACTTTTATGGCCATTATACAATAAACAGCTCACTAAGCTCTTGGTATATTTGGTCTTTCTAGAAAAAAAAAACTAAAAAAATTGAAAAAAAGCCAATAAAATCTTTTAAGTTTGTATAATTCCAAAAAAACTTACCTGAGACCCGAAAAATCGTTACTTTTTTATGGAGGTGTGCTTCTTTTGTGTATAAAACATCCTTATATATAATACGTGGAGGCGATTTCTACAAAACACTACTCCTCCGTTAATAATGGACGGATTTTTACGAACGACGTGTCAAAATAAAGAATTTTTGTGTAGACACCCCCTTTCACCAATTCCTGTAATAAAAATCCTCGGGCTTTGCCCCACAGGCCATCAAAGTTGGACTTTCTCCCATAAGATTAACATGGGGGAATTTAAATATTTAATTAGAAACTTTGTCCCCACTAATTTGAGAGAACGGCTGGGCGTAGAAACTTGGTAGAGGTGTCCAAAGAAAGGTCTTGGTCTGTAGATGAGTTATCAAAAGAAAAACTAAGCAAAATCCCTTAGGGCTCTGCCCCAGCAGCCTTTAAAGATCCTTCCACAGAGTTGTTTACATTTTGGCCATGTGAATAATACTTTTTAATGAAACAGCTGTTCATTTTTAAATTATATTTCAAACCACACATTTATTGGGAGTTACTGAATTGTACCAAATAAGTATTTGCAAAGGTATTTTCTGATGTTAAAATTTATTTTCCTCTTTATCATGTCATGTTTTGCAATATAACGTTCCATTACGAAATCAGTGGAAAATCCTTTTGCAGCAATTCTTAAGTTATTTCTTATTGAACTATCTTATATCTATTGTACGGGTTGGTGTCTGACTTTTTCACCACTTTTGCCTACATTTTATCATATTATTCTACACATATCAAATATTTATGTAGAAATATCTGCTCTTATCGTGTCTAATAAAATCCAAACATAGAAACCTTGCCTAAAATGGTACCCATCTTGACAAATTATTTGCACCTGCCTATATACGGACTTTGGCGCACTGAGTTGGTAACATTATTGAAAATAACACTACATTTTGGCTTTAAAATATAGTACAAAGAGAAAATATGATTTAAGCAGCTACTGTCATGACAGAAAGGTCATATTCCTTTTAAGCTAGATCACATAATCCTTTATAAGATACGTTGATTACCAATATGTAATTGTCAATACATACGTAACAGCCAATTTACAGTATTTTTGCTTTTTAGAAATGTCCCGTTGCTATGTCATTTGCATTATTTGTTGCCAATGAAGCCGCCAATACCATATAAATGAGGAGGACCCTAACAGTTCAAGAATAAAAGCCAACTTACTTCAAGTATTCCACTACACCTAACATTCCGTAGAGAGATTATTTTGACAACTTTATGTTATTGATAAGGCTGAGACAACTTACTGACATCCCCCATGTCAAGGAATTCCAGCTTTAATAGTAGCCCCACAATCAATTTCTCAAAACTATGCTAGAGGGTTCATTCATTAGCACAGAAGTACGATATGAACTGACGCGACGTGACGAAGGAAAAATCAAACTTACACTGTAACGGATATACCTCCCTTTGAAGTTAAATATATCTTCCCAAAAAATATTTTCTTTTCAAATAAAATCATATTACACTGATGACATCACAGAAGTGTTTAACTACAAAAGACCCACCAATACGATTTTAATACTATTTAAAGGTTCTTCCAAAGGAAAAGATATCATATAAAATACTAATAATAACTCCGATGAGTCCGAATTATCAACCAAATTTGGCAACTAACGCAATTAAAATTATTACTGTTTTTACACTTATTACCCTTTTAACAATGCTAAATGCTCAAATTCACCCAATCTATCGCAGTTACATGAATTAACGTAAGCCTTGAAAGTAACCGTCGATTTCGACGGGTTTCACCTAGTTGAAATATGATATTTAAATTTTTGAAATTTTTATGATAGAAATCATAAACGTGATGGTCAGGGACAAGCGGTACGGTCGAGAATTGTCTGGAATAATCTAAATCTATCTAAACAATCCTTCAATTATACTGATTTTATTAGGTTTTTCCTGTTAAACCGACATCCCCAAAAACTCGTTAAAACGGACCACTTAAATGCATGCAACCCAAATATTTGACTTAAATTTAGGAGAGCATTGTGTTTATACATGTTATCGCTGGTCTCAAATCTTTCCCACGAGAACAGTTGTTTCAGTACCGCCCACCTCATACCGATCAAGTCGGGTTAAACAGATGTGCTGATAAAAGTTGTCCGGTTAGATGACATTTCCGCCGAGTGTAGTCCGGTTAAACCAATGTCCGGATAAGAGGGAGTCTACTGTGTATCTATTCGAGAAGTTGGAGAATATTGATAAATCAGTGTAGCTTTGACTTTTATACATTTAGACATTAGACTGGCAGTTTTGCCTTCTACGTTTGGTAAACTTTCGAATAGTGAAATTAATTAATCTCCTGAGAGAGAAATATAGCTTTAAAAATTGAGAATAATTATTGGATGATGGAAATAAACTTCCACTTGACTTGTTCTAGCACTATATAGAAGACTTAACACGTTAACTGCTGAAAACCTTTACACAGGCGCTTCTAAACTGCGGTGAGGCCCGGGCGGAGCCCCGGCATGCTAACTGAATAAGCGATCGCTATTGGCATTGAAATATCCCAGTAAGACGAATCACAAAAGAGCAGTGGTGATTGTTCTGCGTTACCCCGATAGTTCACGTAGTTCACTGAAACACCCAAAGGTAACATCACTGCCTGGATCAATAACCAGAGTCTTTGTAATACGGCTCGAATAGAGATAATCCCCAAAAACAGGACAAAAGCATTGCCGGTCTGGATTTGACGGGAATGTTTAGTACCAACCTACACCAAATAACCAAGCTACATCTCTAATAGTCTTCTTAATAGTTTTCATAATAGTCTTCTTAGCTTGCATTCTAAGCTACAGGCTGGCAACAATTACAATGTTCCCCGGCAATGGTGAAGGACGACATTTCCCGCCCCTCGCACTGAAGGTGTTAAGCAAAAAAAACTTATTTTCTCCTAAACAAAGTAATCTTGAAACCAGTGTGTTATTTCAATGATCTGTTAAAAAAAAATAATCTCAAGGGGACCACCGATGATAAGGCTTTATGTAGGGATTCGAGCCGCTTATCAAAATGGTTAAGGTTCTTACCTGCTGCTGCAACATAACCACTACAGCTACGTACACATGGAATCTTTGCAATGCACTCCAATGCACAACAGTATTTAATAAATGACTGAGTACACATTTAGTGGCGTGATTTGGCCAATGTGTGTCTCATAGGTCTCATAGACGTACAGAATATAAAGGGACAACAAAATCTTACCAACAAATATTTCAAAACTATTTTTATTTTATAAATACTAATTGTTAATAATTACTATACATACACACATTTTATTTACAGAAAACTTTAACAATCATTACTTTTGAAAAGATTATGCAAAGTGCTTTTATATATTTTATTTATTTTATATATAGTGTTCTGAATAATGTAAGAAACTAAAAGTTTGACATAACAAAATTATAAAACATTTAGTTTAATTGATTGAAAAATTACAATGTAACATAAGATAATTTAGTTTCTTATCCTTAGACAGTCCTATTTCCAAAAATACTGGATATTTGTAATTGAATCGACTAAACAATCTTCATCAATTAAAATAGTTTGGGTGTAGCTTCAGACCTACTTAGTTTAGGGTTCAATTAATTGTGTTAATGGTAAATATATTCAATACACTTGATCAGTCTGTATAAAAATCCTTAAATTGGAAAAAAATATCAGTGAAAGTAGAATATAGCACCAAATAAACTATAGATTGATTCTAATATATGTCATCTCTAAACTATACTGTAAATAAACATTAGAAATGAAATTTACAAATCTTGAAACTTTAAATGCAAACGTTTGAAAAATAATTAACAAAATGTACATTGAAGATTATTAAAACGTAGCACAATATCTACAAAACCACTACAAAACTGAATATAAGTATCTAAGGGTACATCACAGATGTTTAAGAGCACCAAATATGAGAAGATTGATCCAGAAAATTTGATAAACCCAGCTACACTTTGACTGTGTAAAATCGAGACACAAGTTATTTGAATTTATTTATATAAGCCTATGTGTTTCCTAAAGGTAAGTTTGGGAAATGTATCTCTAACTGTTCAGTCTAATCATTTAATGTTTTGTAAATTAAGGGATGGTATTTAGGTGGGAGTAAATAATGATTTTCGTTTTAATATCTATTTCCAACTTCACCGTGTAGCTGTGGTTGTCAAAAACAGTCATGTCATTGTTAAAATCTATTAAAACAATTAAATACACAAAAATAATTTGACTTATCTTTATTCCATTATTAATGAATAGTTATTTGTGTAATTAGTGTGCGTAGTGGTACTTTGCTGCCCATGTGTGGAAAGTTTCTTGAGTCCAGCAAAGGCACTTTGCACTCGCGTTACACTTACACATTATATTTTTCCTACAGTTACTATATAAAGCATATAAATAATTAGTCTTTCAAATACTAAACAACACGTTTTTAGGTTAGCTTAAATCCAAGCTTGGGAGGAATAAAAACCCTGCACCAGCTGATTGTGGTCATAGTATCTTTAAGTGTTGCCAACTTATTTTTAAGCGTACATGTATTACGTGCATAATAAAAGCACAACGTTTTGTGTTGTTTGGTTTGAATACTAGAGTGTGAAAAAATGAGTAGGGTAAAAATTAAAATTAGTGGGGCAAAAGTAAGTATATGCAGCAATTAGCTACCTACTTTGTGTTTTATTTGGTGCAATGAAGGCACCTTAGCCCACTTTGTAAGCTAACTGTAGGAAAAAAACATTATGAAAGTACAGTATACTTTATAAGGTAACTGACAGTTGTACCACAGTTGATTCCTTGCTTTGCTATAAACTGAAGTATTTTTCACAAGATATAGAGGAGAATCAGGTAGACCCAACAAATTATACTATAAGGAACCACTGGGCTGTGAAACCGAGACAAATCCCATTGTTGGCTGTATAGTTTTGCAAGACAAAAAGAATTTCAGTGTAAACAGTGATGTGTTGTAAATACACTGTAATATAATTTTTTTCGTCTTACTGCAGCAAAAACAGCCGTTTTTAATGTATGCGTTGCGGGTTTAAAAGTATAATTTTTACTCTCTAGGGAGTAAAAATCAGCTGTTGTAAACGGTAGTAAATTTTGATTGTGGCAATCGTATCGATCAAAATTATTTATCAATTGATTAATTATTAGGTAAGGTTTTAGACTATTGTTGTCGATTGCTCGACATATCAATGGTATAATTTACTGTAACACAATCATAATAGTCTAAATGATGGAATCACTTACTAAACAGCTTCTTATTTGCATTAGCAGAATTGAAAACAAGCTGGAAGATGTTTGATTAATTATTAGGTAAGGTTTTAGACTATTGTTGTCGATTGCTCGACATATCAATGGTATAATTTACTGTAACACAATCATAATAGTCTAAATGATGGAATCACTTACTAAACAGCTACTTATTTGCATTAGCAGAATTTAAAACAAGCTGGAAGATGTTTTGAGAGGTTATCTTTACTTAAAATTATTTTGTTTTCTAGCTTTGTTTGGATGCAATATAACAAAAAATATAGTTTACCACACGGGAAAAAGTGTCTTTTTAACCCTCGATCGTAAAACATGACCTCGGGTCAAAAAGAGTCACCCCTAGTGATGTACTATTTAGTCACACTACAGCAAAAACAGAGGTTTTGAATGCGCGCGTTGTGGGTCTAAAGTGGCATATTTACTCTTAAGGGAGTAAAAATCTGCTGTTGTCAACTAAGTTGTAAATTTCGATTTTAGTTAGTCGTTACATTACAAAAAAGTGACTTTTTAACCCTCGCTCATTTTCCGACCTCGGGCCAAAAAGAGTCACTTTAGGCCCTAGTGATGAAATATGCTATTAATGCTCTATATTCTTTTTAGAAAAAAACTTGTAACTAAAAGTAGTGGCAGGTATTTGAAACCTTTGATTTGTTAATTGATGTAAAATGAGTATTTTAATTGGGCCATTTTTCTGCTGTGTACATTTTATCCATTAGTTTTTAACACTGCAATAGTTGTATTCATTTGGGCAGTTTGGTGATGTTAAGGGATTACTTTTTTGTTGTTGTAGAACATTAAACAAAATATTAATCATGAAAAAGCTATCTTAAGTCAAATGAACAAATAATTTACGACCAACCAATGACAAGTCATAGTTTCTTCTCTAATATAAAACTTCAACAAAAATTAACAATTGTTATGGCATTATATTTGAAAATAAGACATAAGGTTTAAAACATTAACCAAATATTAGACATAACTAACCCGTTATCTAGAGATTGAACATCAAATAAGAGATTAACTCAAAACTCCTCTATCATTAAATGTGCACATGCAATTCTGTTGCATTGTTGAATAATTGCAAGATTGTAAAAAACAAAAACATCTTTATTTTTGTTAATTTGGTCTTACCTCAATAGTTGTCAAAGCATAAGGAAACGTACTCATGAGATTACCAAGATCTTAAAAAATTTAACCTGAATATTAAGCTTGAAATGGTAATTAACTTAACATTGGTTTTTTCCTCTTTACTGGTGCAATTAGATATTTTACAACAATATCTTTATGTTCCACAAGGTTTGTCAGGACTGGACTGTAAAATCTCAAATGATTGCATTAACATGGCAGTACAATGTTTAAAGTCTATCTATTGTTGAACTTGTTGTTAGCTCTGTAGCATATCTCAGGCAGATACATGGGCAGATCCAGATAGGGGGCTTGTATCCCTCACCCCATTTTTGGGGTAATAAATATTAAAAATGATCAAAACTATGAAGTGGACTTGGTGAGGTTTGAATTTTACTCCTTGTATGCCCCTTACTGTCCCAAAATGCAAGTTTAAAGTTACTTTTACATTTTCGGCTGCAGCCCCTAAAGATATTTGAAAGCAGCCCAATGACCGTTTAAAATGTCTGGATTTGCCCATGGCATAGTATAAAAAAATATTATCAAAAATAGTTTATAATACCAGAATAGTGGTCCTTGGTTGCTGTAGTGTCAACTAGTTTCAGTTTAGGTTGGACCATCATCAGGCTTTCAAGGAGTCAAACCTCCAATCTACAAGTTTAGTTTTAGGTTTCTTTCTTCTTTTCCACAATCAATAATTTGAACCATTGGTGCCCCCAACAATAATTCATAGTCACTGCGCCTCAGTACTGGTTTTGGCTGATTCCTGAAAAGTCCCCATCTGATACACAACCATCTGGAAACTCTAAAAAATCTAAAAAAACTAAAAAATAGGCATGGAGAAGTTTAAATTGTACTCTACGTTGAACCCCCAAACAAAAGTTATGCTCAAAAAACATCTATTTCGCTATAACATCTAATGAAATTATTTAAAAGCAGCCCCCCCCCATTCAAATTCCTGGATCCGCCAAGGGACAGTTACGAATGTTTTGCTTAAAGTGGTTTACAATACCGACATATAGTAAGTTAACCTTGGTTGCTGGTTTAACTAGTGCGAGTGGTCTGAACCACGTGTGTATTGTGACTTATGGTAATTTGAATTACAATCAGTATTCCGTATTCATCGCATTTTTCCAGATAGCCGTGTGGAGACTCTTTGGAAATGGGCCAAAACCAGAACTGCGACACAGTGGGTATGACGTGTTGCAGGCACCATTGGGTATGAAGAGTTGGAGACACTATCGGTTCAAATTATTGATTGTGGAAAAGATGAAGGAAACCTAAAATGTACAGCACAACAAAACTTGGAGGTCTGTTAGATCAACCTGATAACCCAAAACAGTTTAAACTTTTTAACAATGTTTAGGTCTAATATCTATCGCTGAACTTGTCATCAGCTCTGTAGTGTATCTCGGGCGGAGAGCCGATGTTTTTGGACCAGTGCCTCGTCCAGTAATGGTCCTCAGCAGCTACTTGTGCTGGCGTTTTGGCGTCCCTGCAGATAGCGACACAGTAGATCAGACTCCCAACTAGCGTCAAGAAACCAAAGATCAGGAACACTATCCCCAGGATCCTAAAACATAAATGCTCAAGTTAGTTGGTTATAAGTTATAATTATGACTCCTAGTTTGAGAATATCTGAAGACGATTTTAAAATATGTCTCTGTCAGGTTTATATAAATGTCGTTTGATTTTATACTATTTTTCATACAAATTTACCAAAATTTAAAGCATTCTAACCAAAATATAAAACAATATGCTACAACAGTCATCACCTGTGCAATTTGCTCAATCCCAGACAAATTTAAAAGCTTTTGTTTTTTTCTAAAATAATTTTGCCAGGTTTTGTTAGTTGAGTAACTTTTTAATGTCTGTTAGACAAACAGATTTGTCGTCCTCATAGAACAGTTCAAGATGATATAAAATAGGGGTGTGCAAGTACTCATTTCATTTTCATGCAAGTATTTCAGCTCGACTCGAGCTTTACAAAATAAACTCAAAGAGTCAAGCTTTTTGATGAGTTTGCTGGAAGCATTCATATTTGTACAGCATAGAAAAACCAAAGAAAGATATTAAAACGTTTACATTAGCTCGCTTTCTTGTACGGTACAAATTTTGCAATCAATTTTAACTAACTTCCTCATGAGCTAGAGACTTGAAACTTGAAACTTAGCTCACAAATGGATGACAATGCAAATAGTCAATGGCAATATTAAATCATTTCATTTTCATATTTCTCTTGGATATAGGCTCCCTAAAAAGAAATTATTGTTTACATTTTGGAAGAATGTAAATATATCAATTGAAGTCAGCTGTAAATACAGTTGAACCTCTATAAGACGAATTTCAAGGGGTACGGGAAAAATTCGTACTATAGAGGTATTCTTAATAAAGAGGGTCGTTTTATCGAGGTTTAATGCTGCTGTTATTCTTCTTATAGAGGTTTCTCCTCGCTCCAAGGTTTCTCCAAAAACAATGACTGAGGAAGGAGGAGGGATGGGTGGGGGTTTCATGTTGAGACAAGCTTCTGTTTGGAGTACAAACTACGTACTATGGAGGTTAAGATTATGATAAATTCGTCTTATAGAGGTCACGTTCGTCTTGTAGAGGTTTTGTGCTAAGAATATTCGTTGTATAGAGGTTAATCAGTCCTAGTCCATGTCACAAACAAATTCGTCTTATGGAGGTTTTTAACTTAATTACTACGTTGTATAGAGGCGTTTTTAGCATTGACCTATATGAAAGTGTCAAGGGGATTAAGAAAAATTCGTCTTATCGAGGAATTCGGTTTATCGAGGTTCGTACAAACGAGGTTCAACTGTACTTTAATTTTACAGTTTTTTCAAAGAGCAGAGGTTAAGAGGTACAGGTTCTGCTCCCGAGAGATTCTAAAGTTTTATGATTATGAGAGTATAGTAGCAACAGCATCTGTTTACAGTTAAAAAGGTTTTGGTTGTGTATTAACAGGCCATTTATAAAATAGATTTACACATTAATGACAAAGAGAAGAAAATAATTTGGAGAGATTAAATACTTGTAAGATTTAAAACGAAAAACGTGAGGCACATGCAATAGCTAATTTACAATTATCTTCACCTACTAAACTAGTATTAGGTGAAACCCGTCGAAATCGATGGTTACTTTCAAGGCTTACGTTAATTCATCTAACTGCGATAAATTGGGTGAAATATACATATTTTGAGCATTTAGATTTGTTTAAAGAGTAATAAGTGTAAAAACAATAATGATATTAATTGCGTTATAGTTGGCAAATTTGGTTGATCATTTAATGATTAAAATATTTCCCATACTTACGTCATCGGAGTTATTATTAGTATGTTATATGGTATCTCTTCCCTTAGAAGAACCTTTAAATAGTATTAAAATCGTATTGGTAGACCTTTTGTAGCTAAACACTTCCGTGATTTCATCAGTGTAATATGATTTTATTTGAAAAGAAAATATTTTTGGGAAGACATATTCTAACCTCAAAGGGAGGTATATCCGTTACAGTGTAAGTTTGATTTTTCCTTTATCACGTCGTGTCAGTTCATATCGTGCTTCTGTGCCCATGAATGAACCCTCTAGCATAGTTTTGATAAATTGATTGTGGGGTTACTGTTAAAGCTGGAATTCCTTGACATGGGAGAGGTCAGTTAGTTGTCTCAGTCTTATCGATAACATAAAGTTGTCAATATAATCTCTCTACGGAATGTTAGGTGTAGTGGAATACTTGAAGTGAAGTTGGCTTTTATTCTTGAACTGTTAGGGGCCTCCTAGTTCATATGGTCTTGGCAGCTTCATTGGCAACAAATAATGCAAATTACATAGCAATGGGACATTTCCAAAAAGCAAAAATACTGTAAATTGGCTGTTACGTATATATTGACGTTTACATATTGTTAATCAACGTATCTTATAAAGGATTATGTGATCTAGTTTAAAAGGAATATGACCTTTCTGTCATGCAGTAAGCTGCTTAAATAGTATTTTTCTTTGTGCCATATTTTAAAAATGTTGTGTTATTTTCAATACCAACCCAGTGCGCCAAAAGTCCGTAATATAGGTTCAAATAATTTGTCAAGATGGGTACCATTTTAGGCAAGGTTTCTATGTTTAGATTTTATTAGACACGATAAGAGGAGATATTTCTACATAAATATTTGATATATTGTTTGGAATAATATAATAAAATGTAGCCAAAAGTGGTAAAAAAAGGCAGACACCGTACAATAGATATAAGATAGTTCAATAAGAAATAATTTAAGAATTGCTGTTATAAAAGGATTTTCCACTGATTTCGTTATGGAATGTTATATTGCAAAACATAACATGATAAAGAAGAAAACCAATTTTAAAATCAGAAAATGACATTGCAAATACTTATTTGGTAGAATTCAGTAACTTCCAATAAATATGTGTTGTTTGAAATACAATTTAAAAATTAACAGCTGTTTCATTAAAAAGTATTATTCACATGGCCAAAATGTAAACAACTCTGTGGAGGGATCTTTAAAGGCTTCTGGGGAAGAGTCCTAAGGGATTTTGCTTAATTTTTCGTTTGATAACTCATCTACAGACCAAGACCTTTCTTTGGACACCTCTACCAAGTTTCTACGCCCAGCCGTTCTCTCAAATTAGTGGGTACAAAGTTTCCAATTAAATATTTAGATTCCCCCATGTTAATCTTAAGGGAGAAACTTCAACTTTGATGGCCTGTGGGGCAAAGCCCGAGGATTTTTATTACAGGAATTGGTGAAAGGGCGCGTCTACACAAAAAATACTTTACTTTGACACGTCGTTTGTAAAAATCCGTCCATTATTAACGGAGGAGTAGTGTTTTGTAGAAATCGCCTTCACGTATTATATATAAGGATTATCTATTGCATGCGTCCCACGTTTTTAGTTTTACCACCTCCCCCCTGGTAAGTTGGATAGTTGGAGGGAAAAAGCAGGGGCCAAGTACACCATCAAAAATACCTCAAAAAAGGTGTGAAGTACAATTTTGAGGTTAGGTTCCTTACACAATGCTACACTACTTACAGTCATTATCGTTATTCTATTCCATGTCACTAAATCCAAGCCAAAACCCCACAGTACACTGTTCAAAGAGCACTTATACAGTAATAAGATACAAATATAACTCATTGAAAAACAAATTGTACTAAAATTACATACAAAACTGGCACTACACGCGGCGTGGATAACAACGTTCCCCGCCGAATGCTGGGAGCGCAGTGCTTCATTTATAGTAGGCCACGTGCAGTACTAGTGTTAAGGTACTACAATTATAGTAGCCACAGCGTGTTAACAATTATTTCCTAAGGTGTGTCAAAACTAACTTACTTATATGATATGACTATATATCTTATCAATACCATTTTTAGTCTTTCCAGGGCCAAAACAGCTTGCAGAGACCTGATACTATATTCAAGGTAGGTGGAATGGGGAATGTTGCTGAAAGTCAACAGTCCCGGAAGATCAAATAATTTATACCTGTGCCGCTAGGTCAAAAACTACAATGTTTGCAGTGTCTGTAGATCAAAATTCCCAGTAAGTCAAATAGTACAGTCCGAGCTAAAAACGTGGTCTATGATAAAGCAATTGACTTATTGGGAATTTGACCTAATGCAACAGCAGTTTTAATATAACGAAATACGGTAAAATACAAGTTCAGTTTCGCTGAGTCAAAAGTGCCGGAAGATCAAAAGCAATAAAAGTGAACGTCGATTCAGTATAAAGTAGACCTCCTGCAACGCTTACTACACCAACAAAACTCGCTTTTAGTTACTTCGTGTTTTGTCATAATTAGAATAAAGCTAAAATTATCATATTTGGTACATAGCTTATCTATTAATGCTTCTTGCCAACTGTTTGGTCAACACTGTAAATAGGTATAGTTTATGTAATAAAAAGCCTTTCGTCAAAATTTGTGGCATGAAATACACGCAAGGGCGATTTGAAAATTTCTGGTTATTATATACGTTTGTAAAAGGAGATCCATTTAATTTTAGAACTATTTTATGAGTTATAATGTAGTCTACACATAAACTGTGTAAACGTATTACGCCTCGGAAGGGTTGAAACCTGTCCAAACTATCATATATATTATTAAAACGTAAATGGGGTTTTTTCACATTCTGAATCAACCAGTAGACGGATTTTCATTATTTTTGTGTTGAAAGAAAGATAATTTTGAGAACCAGGGAATGTCAAAGCCATAATTATAATTAAGGGTACCAGTTTTTTAGAAAATAAGTTTTAATTTTTTAAAAGTCTAGCAGCCGACGCTAACCTTCTAAGCTAGCTTTTAGTTCAATATAATTTGCTTAACATAACAGCTGTAAACATTCAGCATATGTGACACAAATTTAAAGACATATTTAGAGTTGACTTATTTATACTATGTGTAATGCTGACCATTGATACATTCAATTCTTAGGTATGAGGATGGCAGATTAATTAAATATGCATAGTAAACTAGTAGGATGTTCAAATTAATTTTTAAAGGAATCTTTGTAATCATTGATTTGTTTTAGTCCCATATAATTTGTATTAACTAACAGCTGGTTGAATGTAATATTGTTCTATATAACTATTAGGTTTTTGGTGAATTTTCCATATAGGGAATAAGCTACTAAACACCTGGACCCGGGACCGATTTAATTTTTAGTTTTGAGGTCCCTAGAGGCCAAAAACACCATCCGTTCAAATTCATATATACAGGGTGATCGACTCAAGGAGGCCACCATTGGGAAATCGGAAACGGTAAGAATTAGAGAAACCTTTAAATGGGGGACTTTCCTTTATTTTTTGTGTGGCAGTTAAAAATATGATTTTAGTTTTTTTATCATGTTTTCGGATAGAATATGCAATTTAAAAACTTTTTTATCCTTGACATTTTTTCGATAAACCCACTCGTTTAGGAGTACAGCCTATGGAAAATGACTTCCGGTGTACATTTTACATCATGTAGCTCCTAAACGAGTAAGTTTAGAGCAAAATTGCAGAAAGTAAATTAGTCTTAGAATTGCATCTACATTCCTTAAAGACTATAAAATAAAAAGTTTTCCACTTTTCAAGTTTGCCGCCATTTTAAAAATAATATAATTCATATTTTTAATGAATTTTATGGTCTTTTTTGGAATGTGGATGCAATTGTAAGACTTTTTTACTCTTCGCATTTTTGCTATAAACTTACTTGTTTAGGAGTTACATGATGTAAAATGTACACCGGAAGTCATTTTTCCATTGGCTGTAACTCCTAAACGAGTGGGTTTATCGAAAAAATGTCAAGGATAAAAAAGTTTTTAAATTGCCTATTCTATCTGAAAACATGATAAAATATAGGGTGTTCCATAAGAAATTTCAAATTTGGCCGCCATTTTGGAAAATGGCGGTTGAGTAAAAAAAAGAAACTAAAATCATATTTTTAACTGCCACAAAAAATAAAGGAATGTCCCCCATTTTAAGTTTTCTCTAATTCTTACCGTTTCCGATATCCCAATGGTGGCCTCCTTGAGTTGATCACCTGTATAGCCTATATTTATTTATTTATATATTTTCCCCGGGGGGAACCCCAGGACCCCCCTCCTTTTTGGGGGGTATTCCATACCCCCCAGGCCCCCGGTGACCCCCCCCAAAATATATGTCTAGGACCGCCCTTGTCTTCTTTACCTATAAAACACATGGGATACAGCCTTTCTTCACTGATCACGTAATGCGTGATTTTCTATAAAGTCTTGGAAAAATAAAAGGTAAAATAGATAGAATACAGGTGTACTCTATGTGGTTTACACACAATGATATAAGCAACGGTTCTTGCAATTTATTGCTTATTGTTTTTTAGAGTTGTTTTCAGACTTACTCTGTTTTCGGACTTACTCACACTCGTATAAGGTTGTCCACAGCTGTTAATTAATAGTCCATACAGTCAATTAATAGCAACAGAGGTCAAGTTTGGTATCAAGTTAAAGGTTTTATTCATAAAAATACATTGCCGCAAACCCAAACTCAAACGATAATGATGATGATAATCATGTTAATGATGTAGCTAAAACGTATCGTTTGAAATTAAACAGCTGAATATAAGTGAAATAGAAAAGGTTTTTGTTAAATCCATCAAAGTAAGTACTAATGCACTTGTGATCCCTCCCCCTTCGGTTTCATGTATTCCTCTCAATCAGTCAAACCTAGGAGGATTAAACTCTAATGTTAATTAATGTTAAATCCTCCTAGGTTCAAACCTGAAACACCCAGATCGAAACTCACCTGTCGTTATTTTAACATCGCCATATTTTTTTACTATACAGGGTGATTGATATAAGTGTGCCAGCCGTTTTATTCGAAAACTATAAGAGATATCAAAAAAAGTTAAATGGTAAGTGCCTTGGATTTTTTATTTAAAAAATTATAGTCAAGTCAAAAAAATTATTTTAGCCGCCATTTTTCCAATATGGCCGCCAACTTTGATTTTTCTTACGGAATAACCTGTATTTTATGATGTATTCTGGTAGAAAAAGTAATTTTAAGACGATTTTATTCTTGTGATTTTTTTCATAAACCTAACCGTTTTAAAGATAATAATGGTTAAAGTTTTGAAATTTCTGCATGAGAAAGAGTTTCGAAGCAAGCATGCCAGCTGTTTTGCACGAAAACCATTCAAAATTTCACAACTTAAACCATTATTATCTTTGAAACGGTTAGGTTTATGAAAAAAATCACAAGAATAAAATTGTCTTAAAATTGCCTTTTCTACCAGAATACATCATAAAATACAGGGTGTTTCGTAAGAAAAATCAAAGTTGGCGGCCATATTGGAAAAATGGCGGCTAAAATAATTTGTTTGACTTGACTATAATTTTTTTCATAAAAAATCCAAGGCACTTACCATTTAACTTTTTTTGATATCTCTTATAGTTTTCGAATAAAACGGCTGGCACACTTATATCAATCACCCTGTATTTTTCAAAAAAGAAAGATTGTATTGATTTACTTTGGATTTTAAAAATGTGAACGTTTTATTTTCTTAAAGATTTATATGGGGTTACGTAAATATTGTGGTGTAGTAAAGTATATTATATTGTAGTTAAGTGTTAAATTTTAAAATTTTAAGGTTAATAGAGATGAATCTTTTTTAATAACATGGGTCTCTCCTACCTTAACATACATACCAAGTTTCATTAACATCGGTTGGAAAAGTGTAAAGATAAATATTTGTATGTAAAAAATACAAAATGGCGGATATCTGGTTAACGAAACGATTTTGGAAAAAATGTTACGGTATCCTTCATTTTCTGTTTATTTTGACCCAATGAATTACTAGGTAAAATATCTCCCCGCTTATTTTTAACACCCTGTTTATGATGTATTCTTATTAATATAAGTGAAAAGTGTAAGCTGGTAATACAGAAAGATGTTTTATAAATAATATGAATGAACTGGTGATTTGTATATTCATATTTTTCTTGTCCTTAGAAGTGTAAATTAAAAGTCCACTCAGCAGTCCCATCGTACGATGTCTTTCCATGCGTTGCGAAATGCTAAATTTGCCGTCCTCTTCAACCCAAGTTATCTATTGAACCACTGATTGTAAAAAATTTAAAAAATATATATTTTACGCATCACACTTTTAGCTACAACTTTGCCACAGACAAAACCTCTCTAACCCAAAAACAAAAAAAAATCTCGCATGCTAACTTTTTCATGTTAGAAATCACGATTTAAAACTATTTCACCATACATTTTTCAATTTTTATTAATTAGATCGGTAAATAGTTTAAAGTTCCAACAAAATAGTCATCGAGTAGGACTAACCAAGAAGCTCTGTGCCAAATTTCAAAATTTTAGCACAACTTTAAGTACACCAAAACACGAAATTATTGAAGTCATGCGTCGAGAGGACTATCGTTGTTTTTAACAGATTATACTTTTGACCTTCCGGCACTGTTGACTCAGCGAAACTGAACTTATATTTTATCTTATTTCGTTATATTAAAACTGCTGTTGCATTAGGTCAAATTCCCAATAAGTCAATTGCTTTAACATAGACTACGTTTTTAGCCCGGACTGTACTATTTGACTTACTGGGATTTTTGATCTACAGACACTGCAAACATTGTAGTTTTTGACCTAGCGGCACAGGTATAAATTATTTGACCTTCCGGGACTGTTGACTTTCTGCAACGCGTCCGGTGGAATGAACCTCCCACCCAAACAGTGGACACTGAGGTGTGTACATATCAAGTACATCTCTCATATATTATATATGAAATTTTCTATAGATCATGAATAACATAATTTAATGATCACCCTTTATTAAAATCTCTTCCTAATGGATTGCCCAGTCTTCATAGTTTAAGCTTTGACTACAATAGTCAATGGTTTAAGTAAAGGTCTTCCACGGCTTAGAACCTTATTGGATTCCTCGTCAAGGTGAATAATTTTTTGTTATTATTTTCGGACAAATAATTAAAATAATGAATTAACTTAAACTATCTTTTGCCTCTGACTGAGCCACCAACTCACCAAAGTACACAAAACTTACCACGACAAAAAAACTAGCCTTAAAAACAAAACCTACCAAACAAAAACTGGTTGGAAGAACTGCACCACTATGACGATGCCTAGTGTGACGAGGATGAGGCCAAGGTTCAGCAGCAGCATGAGGCAGCACATCCCTCGAGTGTGAGGACAGAACGGGTTGGGAGCAGACATCGTCTCAATCACCAATCCCCGCTTGTGGTCCACCTGAGGAAACATTTGTGTTCAGCTAATCCCTTACGTTAAAAAAAAAAAACAAAGCTAATTAATTAATTGCTTAAGGAGTATGTGTGACCTCAGGAAACGAGATGATATCTAAAAGTTCGAGGAAGATATTAAAGATTTGGCCACAATCACGGAAAACGATGATGAGTTTCCATGACAGTAAGTGACAATGATGATTTCTGCAGGACCGTGGAAGGTGTGGAAGATTTTGCTACACCGACCATGATATATATTTTTCTGCGATTACAGAAGACAATAATGATGTTTCTGTGACCGCAGGTGACGATGATGATTTTGATTTCTACAAGACCTTAGAAGGGGTGCAGAATTTAACTGCTATCGCAAAAAACAATGACGATGTTTTTGTGAGCGTGGGAGACAATGAAAAAACAACCCCACAAGAGTTTTTGGCTTTTGCCCCGATAACGGCTCCTGCCTTCTTTAACAACAATCCTTATTACTGAGCTTTTAGGTTTTTTTTTATTCATTCTTTATGAGATTTGGGTAATAAGCGATTCTGGTAGTGAAAATCGGATGACTATTTCAATTTTTCTTTTTCCAACAAATTGTATACTAAAAGTTTTGGTAATGTATGTGGTACTAAATTTACCACAATTTAGGCAAGGCTTCTCTTACCATTTGAAAGCCATCAAGTTGGTTTTCCTAATTTTATTGCCTTCAAAGCAAAAAGGGAGGGAGATAAAAACGTCATACAACTACAATACTGTTCAATACTGTTACTGTTCAATACTGTTCAATGAAATGGCGACCATACTTAGTAGGTATTTTAAGCCAAGTATGAATGGAGATGAGTGTAGGATGAGTGGCGCGATCTTTTAGTCTTGTTAGTGACTAAGGCCGACATTCCTTAGACACAGCTGTTAATTAATAGCCCATACAGCTAATGGCAACTAAGGGACCTACAGTTTATAGTGGAATCCGAAGCACATTTTTCCTTGGTATATACGAATTGGTCTAATTATCAGGATAGTACTGCGGATAGTCGTAGTACTCACTCGTGCGGACGTTAATCCACACGCATCCACAGTGTATGCCTATAAATATCCACAATTCGTGACCTCCTAGTAGCTGGATTACAGGACGACGCCACCCATCCCAGTCAATATAAACTGCAGCTTCCTATCAGTAACATAATCATTACTTATGTTTGGTTTAATCTCCAAAAGCATTGTATATTTTGGTCTTAATAATGGTTTCTACTAATTTTATAGAGGTTTTAGTTTTTAATGAGATGTGATAGTTTTCCAATTAAGAGGGTTTTATAAAAAGGAAAAAATACGCTACTATACCTTGGTTTTGATGGTAGAAACTTCTGATGGAGCTCGGTAGGAGTAATGACTTGGCGCATGTCGGCTGTAACGGCTGTGACGGGATCCGCGACTGAAAGAGACACTGACATCGTAATTATATAGTCATTGGTTTGACTGCCACTGAAACTTGTTTCTTCAGATTAAATTAAAGTTTTTATGAACATAATTTCACAGATTTAACTCTATCATGAACTCAATAAATGTTTGTAAAATTGTATAATGTTTGTTTTACATTTCTTCTGGACTATAAGAATCAATTTGAGTTTCATCATAGCATAGACTCAATTGTCTTTTTGTAAAGTTTGGTAGTGATATTTCTTTTATGCGTACTGTACTTGGTTTTAACTAAACTTGTACAATTCCCCTTATTTCATTTACACGATCAAGTAAAAGCTTAATAAAAACTTCTATGAATAATTGGCAGCTTTATCCTTTCTGCCCTGAGGTAAAGCAGAATCTATCTACCTATCTAGAATCTATCTAAATGATAAGCGGTCGGTAGATATATTATTAATACGCTACATGAAACTTTGTAAACGATAAGGCTTTTTCGTTTTAAGATCTAACCCCATATACCAAAATGCTCCTCTAGGTGTGTAGATTTGCAAACTGACCTTAAATTTTTGAAAAAGTCCCTTGGGCTCTGCCCCAGTGGCTTTTAAAGTCCCCATGTTATCCTTTAAGAAGAACATATTTTCTGTTTAAATTATGATCAGCTGGATAATTGAGCGGAGCGAGCGAAGCTCTTATACATCGACTCTTATGCATTTCGTAATACGCAAACTCCTCCTAGACGGCTGAATCAATCGTTTTCAAATTTTGCATGGTGATAAAGACCATATCGGTGAGTGCTAACATCTATATGGCGTTAAAAAAGTCTCTCAGGAATCCGCCCCACTGGGTCTCAAAGTTTCAATGTAATCCTTATGGACGCAGTATTTGACACATAAACAAATAATCAAAGACATATGATCAGCTGTTGACTTTTGAATGCAGTATATAAAGAAATAGCTGATAGCATTATTCCACAGATATTAGAACAGAAATGGTATGGATCATAAATATAATCAAATGACGACACTAGCTTGAGGTCCGTGACGTAGGAAGTGGTGAAGGAAGTAGTAAAGGTGAGCAGTCTGGAGTGTGGAAACTGTTTATGACGATTAGATTTAGGTATCTGCATTCCGAAAATTCGATGGGAAGGGAGGAAAACGGGTCCGCGACGTAGGAAGTGGTGAAGGAAGTAGTCCGATTAGAAAGGTATCTGCAATCCTAAAATACTATTGGAAGGGAAGGAAACAGGACCGCTACGTAGGAAGTGGTGAAGGAAGTAGTAATAGCGAGCTGTTCGGGGTATGGGATCTGTTTATGACCATTAGATTAAGGTATTTGCAATCCTATGATGCTATGGGAAGGGAGAGAAACAGGTCCGCGACGTAGGAAGTGGTGAAGGAAGTAGTAAAGGCGAATAGTCCGGACTGTGGGAACTGTTTGTGACGATTAGATTAAGGCATTTGCAATCCTAAAATGCTATGGGAAGGGAGGTAAACCGGTCTAGGACGTAGGAAGTGGTGAAGGAAGTAGTAAAGGTGAGCAGTCCGGAGTGTGGAAACTGTTTATGAGATTAGATTAAGTTACCTGCAATCTTAGAATGCACTGGAAAGGGAACGAAACAGGTCCGTGACGTAGGAAGTGGTGAAGGAAGTAGTAAAGGTGAGACTTTCGGAGTGTGGTATCTGTTTATGATCAATAGAATAAGGTATTTGCAATCCAATAATGCTAAGGGAAGGGAGGTAAACAGGTCCGTGTCATAGGAAGTGGTGAAGGAAGTAGTAATCGCGAGCAGTCTGGAGTGTGGGAACTGTTTATGACGATTAGATTTCGGGATCTGCATTCCTAAAACTCGATGGGAAGGGAGGAAAACTGGTCCGCGACGTAGGAAGTGGTGAAGAAAGTAGTCAAGGCGAGCTGTCCGGAGTGTGGGAACTGTTTATGACGATTAGATTAAGGTATCTGCAATCCTGAAATGCTATTGGAAGGGAAGGAAACAGGTCCGTGACGTAGGAGGTGGTGAAGGAAGTAGTAAAGGCAAGCAGTCAGGACTGTGGGAACTGTTTATGACGATTTGATTTAGGTATCTGCATTCCTAAAATTCTATGGGAAGAGAGGAAAACGGGTCCGCGACGTAGGAAGTGGTTAAGGAAGTAGTAAGGGCGAGTTGATCGGGGTTTGTTATCTGTTTATGATCAATAGATTAAGGTATTTGCAATCCAATAATGCTAAGGGAAGGGAGGTAAACAGGTCTATGTCGTAGGAAGTGGTGAAGGAAGTAGTAAACGCAAGCAGTCCGGAGTGTGGGAACTGTTTTTGACGATTAGATTTAGGTATCTTTATTCCTAAAATTCTTTGGGAAGGGAGGGAAACAGGACCGAGACGTAGGAAGTGGTGAAGGATGTAGTAAACACGAGCAGTCTGGAGTGTGGGAACTGTTTATGAGATTAGAATAAGGCATCTGCAATCTTGGGAATCTGCTGGCAGTGCAGAGTGGGGGAACCGTTTGGACAGTTAGATAAATGTATCTAATACTTAAATGCTATGAGAAGGGAAGGAAACAGTTCTATGACGTAGGAAATGGTGAAGGAAGTAGTAAGGCTTGTAGTGCAGAGTGTGGGAAGGGAACTGGTTTTGGAAATTACATTAATGTATTTGCAATCCTAAAATGATATGGGAAGAGAGGGAAACAGGTCCATGACGTAGGGGGTGGTGAAGGAAGTAGTAGGCCTAAAGGTGAGCAGTGTTGAGCGTGGGAATGGATTAATGTATCTGCAATGCTAAAATGTTATGGGAGGAGACTGTAGACTGTAGGTTATAATGATTACGAAGCAAGAATCGATACATATTTCGATACCTGCAATCGTTTACAATAGAAATTTACTACTGAGTTGACAACAGCTGATTTTTACTCCATAGAGGCTAAAAGCGATTTTTACTCCCTAAAGAGTAAAAATGCTACTTTAGACCCGGAACGCATGCATCAATGACGACTGTTTTTACTGCAGTATGACAAAAACAATATAATATGAACCCTTGATGACTCCGCTCAATTTTGTGGATGCATCTGCGAACGCCACCTAGTAAGTTTAACATGATAAACCATGTAAAAAGCTTTTGTTTTTAAGGCAATGACTATTGTATACAGAAGTTGTTATAATAGTCAAAGATGCTACTTTAGACCCGCAACGCATGCATTAAAAACGACTGTTATTACTGCAGTATAACAAACACATAATAATATGAACCCTTGATGACTCCGCTAAATTTTGTGGATGCCTCTGTGAACGCCACCTAGTTTAATTGCTATTACTGTAATATTTTACTTGCAATTTAAGCAAACGTTTGCTACAAACATTTACTGACCGGGTTAAAATGAAATATTTACTATTTTAATTTGGGTTGTAAATATTACAATGGAAGAAAGCCTGGACAATTTGATATACTAAAGTGGAAACTGAATTAACACTGTGCTGCATTTCTTGAGCAATCATTGAAACAGTTTTTTTTTCAAACTATGAAAACATAGGAAAGTCATAGAACACCACCAAGTAGAAGAATAATAGAAAAATATTGTTTTTAAAAATTTATAATCGTTATTATGGACAACCTAATGTGGCTATGAGTGGGAAACATTTGTAGAAAACACTAAAGAACAAGATCACCTTTTGAAAAATTTTAAGATATTTACAAGATATTGATTATATTGTTATGTACATTGTGAGTATTTCCATAATCTTTATGAGTCGACTCTTTTAAAGTCATCGTAAATTATGACTGTTATTTGTTTTAAAATAACAACTGTAATAAATCGCAATTGCTCGAATTCGAGCAACAGGTAGTCTAGTCTATATTATTAAAAGAATGTGTTGGATTTTTGTGTGCAGAAAATCGACCCCTAAATATTTTTAAGAGGGATATTGGGTATCATTTTTGAACTCTTATCCTCTAGATGTGCCTTATGCGGGTTTGGATGATATCCCGTGAAAGCCCTTCATCCTAGAGGCTTTAAGAATTTAATAGTTTGTGCTATTGTGCTGAATTCTGTTGTCAATCATCTGAACTTTTTCCAGTATGATACTATTTTGTTTTTACCTTACGAAAATGGCGTTATCTGTAGTTGGTGATGTTTCAGTGAATTCTAGTAAAATGTTGTAATGTATTTGTATAAAATGTAAAGAATAAAATTACTTACGTAAGGTATATTGTGTTGTGAGAGGATTTTGTGTCTTCATAGTATGATTTATTGATGTTTTAGAGAATTTAAGTAAAATATTATAATGTTAGTTGTGTAAAATGTAAAGAAGAAAATGACTTAGGCCTACATTAGATTTTGTGTTTTCATTAGTAATTGTAATTTTTCTAAGATGCCTCGAAGAGATCGCGCACGTAATGAAAATAATAGGGCTCGCAATTGGAAAAATAGGGATATGATGAAACATACCGTAATCGTTTTCATTCTTATCAACTATAAATAAAATCTATCATGGATTTTGAAGTCATAAAGTGACGCAGGCTGCTAGTGATTCTTATGACCAAGTTTAATTGATGTAGTTTTGACCATAAATTATCAGTAATGTTTTATAATTAGGTCAAAATTAGATTTTTTGACAGAATAAAATAACCACTTCCAAAACATTCCCTCTCTGGAGTTTAGCCTTTTGACCCCCAATGGATATGTTGACTATGATGAGTTGAGTGCAGAATATCTACCTGATCTCAGAGGGTGGTCTATAGGCAGCACTAGTGACATAGATGTCTGAACCTTCCTCAGGGTAGTAACGCTCCTCACTCCGCGTGCGCCGATCCCTCTCTCTGGAGCGTGATCGAGGCCGGTGTTTGCGCGGTGGAGGAACCACTCGCGCACGCTCGTTGGTCACCGTGTACTCGGACATCGTCCTCTCTGAGGCTGCTCTCTGGCTGTCTTCTCCTGAAGAAACAAAAGCTTTTAATTACAACATCAACTCACTGGGGTGCGTATGTTTAGGCGAAGATGGTTGAATGGAGTTGACAGCTTTATTTCTAAAATCAGCTATATAGTCCTTTGGACAGGACCATTTTTATTAAAAGGAGGACAGCTTTAAAACCATCAAAAATCTTCAGACCTTTCTCTTGGGCACACCGGTGATATTCTGATCACCAAACTAGCACCATAGCTACTCAGCTACGAGTAGGCCTACCCAGTTTTATAGAGGCAAAGGGTTTAAGCTTTCATAGGCTAACAACTTTTTTTAATTTTCTACAATTTACACTCTTACTCCCTATAATCATAATCCTATACTCTAGTATGAGCAATGTTTGCTTGTATGTATGTATGCTTGCACCAAGATCTCGAAAACTGCTCCGACGATTTTCTTTAAATGTTGTAAATACAGTAGTTTATTTTTGGCCTAAAAACGAGTTTACTGCAGTTAGAACTGCCAACAAAAATCTAATTACGTCGAAAAATTAAACAGAAAGTCACATTTTTTTACATTAGTCTTATGGGTTGCTAAGTAACCATCTTGGCTGGATTAAATAACAAGGAAAAAGTAAACAAAAGACTTGTAAGTAGTCTATCCACGGTATACTAGCAAATTACAAAATATACAGTACAAAAGGAAAAGCATCAGTTGTTACGATTGAGCAAAGATTATACTGAAGATTACTCGATACATTGTAGCAGGACTTTTTCTATCTATGATTGTTGTAGTAAAGGCTAGCAGTGTGGAGTGTGGGAACTGCTTATGACGATTAGATTAAGGTTTATGTAATCCTAAAATGCTGCGGGAAGGGAGGTAAACAAGTCCGCGAGTTAGGAAGTGGTAAAGGAAGTAGTAAAGGTGAGCAGTCCGGAGTGTGGGAACTGTTTGAGACGATTAGATTAAGGTATCTGCAATCCTAATATGCTATGGGAAGGGTGGGAATCAGGTCCGCGACGTAGGAAGTTGTGAAGGGAGTAGTCAAGGCGAGCTGTCTGGAGTGTGGGAACTGTTTACAGTATAACAATTAGAGTAAGGTATCTGAAGTGGTTTTAGCTCGTCTTCAAATCTGAAGGTTTCTGTTCGATTCCAAGAGCGGTCGATTCTGGACAAAGATGTCACTTATCACTGGGCTATCAATTAATTGCGCTATCTAACAAAAGGTTGATGTTAGAGTTGGATGGTAAAAAGATCAGGGCTCAGATTGTTTGTGTCTTATAATAAACGTAAAAAATTCTAATTAAGAAAATAAACTGATAGTTACTTGTGGAAAGAACCAGACAACTCAATTTCTCGTTTGTTTCTGAACACTCTCTACATAGCTTACGGGCTTAACAAGTCAGTTTTGTTTTGTAAACTAGAAACTAGAGCAAAGAAATTTTGTTTTACTAGATGCTACTAAATTGTTAAGGAGGGTAAAAGTAATTTAGCTGTAATTACGGTGTTTGTGTGTGTGTGTTGTGTAGTTGTTCCATAGATAGAAAAATAGAGACACGTTTTGACATTGTAATGAAAACTGTTTTCCCCTTATCACCAAATTACTTGAAAGTACAAAAAATATCAATATAAAAACAAACAGATAGGGAATACAAATAATGAAGTAGTGTAGATTAGGTACTAATTTACAGACGGCTTTCCCAACCACAATTATTTCAAACCAATTTTCAAACATTGTTTAGTCAACCCACATAAAAATAATCGATAATAATTTAAATACTGGTAAACAAATGGTGGGCTTGTAAAAGGAATTATGTTAAAACATAGGAATAGACATTAAGAGGAGAAGCCTTTTTTACACAGAGTTTCCAAGCTAAAGGTCAAATTATACCAGAGGCGTTCTTTTACATTCCTAACTAAATAACAAGTTAAATAATATGTTCACTGATGAAGACACACTTTACAACCTGTTGGCATTTCTGTAAAATTCCATTAAAAATCACTGAAACTGACAATTAGAATACATATGGTACAAAATATATGCAAATTATCAAATTACTAATATATTATTCATCACTTGAGTTTAAAATTATTGATAAAATACTTCTATTAATTAATTGTAAAAATGAATAAATAATTAATTGTAAACAACAAATTTATAAGAAAATAAAGATAAAAAGTCTTATTTTTCAGCTGTTAAACTTAGCCCAACAAAAATGTGTTAAATTAAGGCAAGAGTTACCATAAGGCCCCACTAGAAAAAACAGGCCATGCTGCAGCATGGACAGCGCAACACTACGTCACAGTGGTGGATAGTTGTACTAAACTCTTACCATTAAAATCTTACTAACAGCCATTGAGATTAGCTCAGTGCAAACAGCCAGCTAGTTTATTTACCTAAAACATATGGGAATGGTGATGGCAATTAATTTATCAATGCAATCTATCGCTATTGTCGGGGCCACGTAAGTTTGCAGTTGGTGGCAGCCAATCACAAGACAAGGCTAGTGCTTCGTTGCCACATCGCCCGTTGACAACACTTTTATTAAAACACTAAGCAATATTTTCAAATCAGCTGGTATTATTAGATTTGGCAACACCGCATGGTTCTCATTGGTTCATTCAAAACCATATGGTAAATAGGCTCCTACCTCAACTGCAAACTTATGTGGTCCTGACAATAGTGTGATGTCATGGATCCTGCAGCATGGCCTGTTTTTCTAGTGGGGCCTTGGAGTTACCCATTTGCCTGGTTTTGATCGCTATTGAGCAATTTAATTTGTTTGTTTGTTATGGTAAACTGTTTACTGATATAATTATGTTCATATGTTGTGTGTGATTACTGCAACCTTTGGAGTGATCCAGATGACTTACAGCCACAGCACACAACTCATTTACAATGTGTGTTATTACACCACTGAATACAAACCCTTTGTATTCATTGTGGTTATACACATTCCAAAAACGCCTGTAACCCTTCAACAAATGACTTACCTGCCAGTGTTGAACTTAATTAGGTACTTAATTATTCGTTACCAAGTTGCCCTCAGATTGCAGTGAAATAGGCCTATAGAAATTTAAAATGCTAGTTTAAAAAAGCGTGTAAAACCCATACAAAAACTCTTTCAACAATAAACACTTCTCAAACCTTCAAAACCCTGAATCAGACTATTTAAAACAAACTCCAACAACACCTTATCCCAAAAGTATTGAAAACTAATACCAGTAATACCACCTTTTCCCTGGATGTCATATAACCCAAAGTCATGCTGACACACACACAAGTTGTTAGTGTTGAAATAACTGTGGGTTAGTGTCCAACAGATAATAGTAACCTACAAAGATGCAAGTGCCGGAGTAGAGGTGCAGAAGTAAAACTAATAGAGAGAGATGGATATGGTACCATCTGTGTAGTATCCCCTCTCGTGGTAGTGAGGCGAGGGTACATGAGTGGCCACGTAGTGATGCTTGCCGACCTTACGGACCATGGCATCCTGCAACAAGCATTGCCGTAAATTTCACTTCACTTAATCCCGTAAGACAATTACGTAGTTAGTGTATGTATATTTTTAGCTGAATTAAAGTAAGGATTGTATAGATGATTGCATAGAAGGAGTGAAATGATCGCTGTGTGACATTGTTGCTGACTTAAGATCAGCTGCTATGTTCTAGGACCATTTATTAAAAGACCAATGAATGACCCAAGAAAGCTTGGTCCAGGGTTGAACCATCAAAAAGTTAAATTGGTGACCTTCTGATTCTAAGTGGAGCACTACAACATAGAACCACTCAGCTGCCCTGCAAGTAGGCAGTAGACTTATCATCGTAATGCAAAAATCTGCCCACCTGCCAATCTAAATGTGTTGATCTATACCAAACATAAAAATTAGGCTACATTCCTTAAAATTGTCTTCAACTGATCAATTAGAATGTTTAAAAGGGAGTATTTTATGTATATGCTAATGCTATATCCTACCACCAGTACTATCTAGCTTTACTATCTGTTTTATGGGCTTGACCAACATAGCAAATGACAGAACATCAAAGTTTTGAGGCAGTTTTGATGCAGCAGTGACTGACAGCTGTGAAGCTGACTCGGTGACCCGTGATGTCACACTTGGTTGGTTTCTCTCTCCAACAACCAATGTACCTGTTCTGTTATATCCCAGTGCAGCTTTAAAGCCTAAGATGGGTCTTTTTAACTAAAATCCTATAACGATACAATACGACAACTTATATGTAAGGTGTGTGTCGCTAGTCTTAAGAGAGTACGCCTATGACTTACTAGCTGTTGTACCTGTACTTTGCAATGGGAAGAGGACACAAAATGGAATCATTTTGATCTTTACATCTGTTGTATAAAATATACACATCCACCAACGCTTTTAGAAACAAAATTCAACCTTAATTGCCTTTATAGAAACGTTTGTGGATTTTAATACTGGCAAATAGTGAAATCCATCATTTTGCTTTTAATTTGAAATCTTGTGTAGGCTCTATAAAGGTTTAGATTAAATAACCTACCACCATTAATAGTCGAATCCATTGAAATCTATCTATATATTAATAGGCAAGCATGTTTCTTTAAAACCTTTTTTCTCAGCTCGTGTTCATCGTAGGGAAAATCTACGCATACCGTTAGAAAACTATTTTCCTGTAGGTGTGCAGAATCCCTTTATAAATTTAAATAGGCTCAAAGATAAGCACAAAAAATGAGTTTAAAAATTTGAAAATATTAACATGGATCTTATGCGTTGCCATGCTGGTAACGAAAATAACAACGAAATATAAACAGAAAACCAAAACAAATGGAAGAAACTCAAATCACATGTTTTATTTACAGTGTGGGGTGAAAATAGATAAGTGAGTACATTACGTATTTTTGGTCGAGTTTCGACCACTGGACGACCTCTAGTCTATCTATCTATCTATATATTAATAGGCAAGCATGTTTCTTTAAAACCTTTTTTCTCAGCTTGTGTACATCGTGGGGTAAATCTGTGCATACCGTTAGAAAGCAATTTTCCTGTAGGTGTGCAGAATCCCTTTATAAATTTAAATAGGCTCAAAGATAAGCACGAAAATGAGTTTGAAAATTTGAAAAAATTAACATGGATTTTATGCGTTGCCATGCTGGTGACGAAATAACAACGAAATATAAACAGAAAATCAAAACAAATGGAAGAAACTCCAATCACGTGTTTTATTTACAGTGAGGGGTGAAAATAGAGAAGTGAGTACATTACATATTTTTGGTCGAGTTTCGACCACTGGACGACCTCTTGTACTTATTTAATACGCAAGCACGATTTTTGTGACAATTACTCCTCCGAAACTACTAAACCGATTGACATGTTTTTGGTGTCATTGGAAAGAGCGTAACGTGAAGTTGTGCAGGAAACCTTCTTTTTAAGGAAATAATTAGAGAGTGAGGCCCTGGGGCCCTTTAAAGTTTCGTATTTCTCCATAAGAATAACAAGGGAGATAATTTTTATTTACAGAAACATATGTTTGTTACTTGAAAATAGTCAAAGTCTACGACATAATAATTGCTGTGTAATATGACTGTTAATGTATACTACATTTCAATCAAGGATTGTGTGCCTTAAACTTTACTCATAATGGATCTCACTACTTTATTTTCATGCTGGGAATAGTAAAATTTAATTGAGAATAAGTTACCATATTTAGAAAACTTTACTAGCCTATAATAATTGATGTATTTAAAATCACAAATCTTTGACATCATTAATTCATTAGAAACGAAACAGCTGATCAAGAAATCAAACAAATCATCTACTTCATGTGAATAATGTTTTTACACAAACATAGTTTTTTTAACCAATAACTTGATAATTTTTTACTTGTGGGTGTATTTTGAGTTTGCAGTTATGAAAGCACCAAGCTAAGTACTTTTTATCTAATTTTCTTTATAAACTAACAGTATTAATGAATTACTACATGAACTTTACAAGTTAGGTAATTAATTGTCAGTCTGCCAAGGGGAAGAGTGGGTCCTCGAAAATAGACGAAGGTGGAGACACCCATCTAGATGGGTTCTAGAAACAGTTGGAATTTCTAGAAATTCAACTGAGTTTTTAAATATAGAGGTCACAGGTCAGTGGATTGCCAAGACACAGATTACACTAATTAAAGGGTGCAGTGGTTTTATTGATATTAATACATCAAAAAGGGCCTCATTAATGGCACAAGGCTTCACGGTTAACAACAATGTAATGTAGAATGTAAAGTCCTAACTGGAACAAGTGAGTAGGGACATATTTTGATTTCGAGGATAAAAATTGGCCCGTCTGAAACAAACTTACCTTTTAAAATGGAAAGATGCTAATTTCTGTTACAGTATCTTTGGCATTTGCAGCACAAGCACTTTAATTAAAGAGCAGCTCTGTTCTTAGCCAGACCAATTTCAGTCATGAGCAACTATATATATATATATATCCTGTATAGCCTATGTTGTTTTAAGTAAGACTACATCTTTTAATAGGATACGCATATTCATTACGGAAAATTCTGACCAGGGTAATATTCCTGAAGGTAACATTAAGACTAACATCGTAGTATTCATAGAAGTGCTTTTGTAATAAAAATATTGTTTTTTAGTGTTTATTTTTAAAAGTGTTTTCTTCAAGCAGCATTTTATGACCCTCAAAATATGCTTCATAGGCTAGGCCTATTGGTTCGATATGATAAAATGTTTTGTTAAATGTGTTTTACAAATCTTTAAAAAATAACTACCCTATAAAATACTTAACCTTGAACACTTATTAATTTACTAAATATAATACGCATACAGCTAGAAAATGGCTGGACTGCTTCCCTTCTAAGGCTTTATTATTACTGTATTTAATTTTCGACGTAGAGTTAATATAGGCCTTTAACACGATGAATTCGTTTTCTAAATTCATATGTTTTTTTGCGGGGCATTGAGCCGCACAGGTTCACTAGTACTTATTTAATACGCAAGCAGATATTTTGTGACAATTACTCCTCCGAAACTACTGAACCGATTGTCATGTTTTTGGTGTCATTGGAAAGAGCGTAACGTGAAGTTGTGCAGGAAACTTTCTTTTTAAGGAAATAATTAGAGAGTGAGGCCCTTTAAAGTTTCACATTTCTCCATAAGGATAACATGGGAGATGATTTTTATTTACAGAAACATATGTTTGTTACTTGAAAATAGTCAAAGTCTACTACATAATAATTTATTGCTGTGTGTTATGACTGTTAATGTATACTACATTTCAATCAAGGATTGTGTACCTTAAAGTTTACCCATAATGGATCTTAATAGGCCCTACTTTATTTTAATGTTGGGAATAGTAAAATTTAGTTGAGAATAAGTTACCATGATTTAGAAAACTTTACTATAATAGTTTATGTATTTAAACTCACAAATCTTTGACATTATTAAATCGTTTTATGTAAATAAAACAGCTGATTGACAAATCAAACAAATCATCTACTTCATGTGAATAATGTTGTTACACAAACATAGTTTTTTTTTTACCAATAACTTGAGTCTTTTTTACTTCTGGGTGTATTTTGAGTTTGCAGTTATGAAAGCACCGAGGCAAGTAACTTTTATCTAATTTTCTTTATAAACTAACAGTATTAATGAATTAGTACATGAACTTGACAAGTTAGGTAATTAACTGTCAGTATGGCAAGGGGAAGAAGAGTGGGTCCTCGAAAACAGACAAAGGCGGAGACATCCATCAGAAAATCCAACTGAGTTTTTAAATATAGAGGTCAGTGTATTGCCAAGACTCAGATTAGACTAATAAAAGGGGGCAGTGGTTTTATTGATGTGGAATATTAATACATCAAAAGGGCCTCATTAATGGCACAAGGCTTCATGTGATCAGAATGGTTAACAGCTTAATAGAATGTAAAGTCTTAACCGGGACAAGTAAGTGGGGACATATGTTGATTTCGAGGATAAAAATGTGCCCGTCTGAAACAAACTTAAGTTACCTTTTAAAATGGAAAGATGCTAATTTATGTTATCTTTGGCATTTGCAGCACAAACCCTTTATTTAAAGATCAGCACTGTTCTTACCCAGATCAATTTCAGTCATGAGCAACTATATTGTATGTTGTTTTAAGTAAGGCTACATCTTTTAATAGGATACGCATATTCATTACGGAAAATTCTGACCAGGGTAATCTTCCTGAAGGTAACTTTAAGACTAAAATCGTAGTATTCGTGGAAGTGCTTTTGTGATAAAAATATTGTTTTTAGTGTTTATTTTTAACAGTATATTCTTCAAACAGCATTGTAAGACCCTCAAAATATGCTTCATAGGCCTTTTGGTTTGATATGATAAAATGTTTTGTTAAATGTGTTTTAAAATCTTTAACAAATAACTAGGAACACACTTGAACTTGAACACTTATTAATATACTAAATATAATACACATACAGCTAGAAAATGACTGGACTGCTTCCCTTCTAAGGCTTTATAATTACTGT